AGCCTTAGACAGAACAGAAATGCATGGGCGTGGCTGTGTTCCAATGCAACTTTATTTACAAAAACAAACCTCAGCTTGGTTTGGTCCGTGGGCCATAGTTTGTCTCAGTTCACAGTTTCTGGAGGTAAGTGGCTTCAACAGACAAGCCATCTTAGGCTCTGAGGGTGATCCTGGGGCCAGGGAACATCCACATCTTTTTCTAGAAAGTTAGTTGGGCAGCTAGACCATCACCATCCCAGCCTAAGAACCTAAGTCATCAATGCAGTACCTTTAGTAGTGGAGGCTGTGGCAGTATTCAAACTCATAAAAATAATCTCTGAAGTTTAACATTGTTGGGGATTTTGCTTTGGAGGTTTCTGTTTGGTTTTGAGTCTTTTTTCACTTTGGTGGTGACAGCAAGTTTATCCCAGGTGTGCCTATCAAGATTCAGCCCTGGGAGCTTCCCTTCAACCTTCCAAGCATGTCCTAGAATTCTTAGGTCATAGAAAATGTCTCACCCCTATCCCAATCCCTATTCCTCCACAGCCCTGTGCTGCCTTGATCTGACTTCTGGAACTCAAAAAGGTCACTCTGGGAGTGAGTTCATCAGCTTAGCTGTACCCTTGGCCTTTGGTGGCTTGCATTCACCTATCAGGAAGGATGACTCAGCACTGCCGTAGCCTTTCCTAGAAATCAGGAAGCTTCCTTGCTCAAGCTCCCATTGGGAGAACCCTCTTCAGGTCTTGACAGTGCTAAGGAGGGACTGATAGAAGGGTTCTGGGATTCTTTAGCTGCCTGAGTACTAGATCGCTTTGCTTTAGCTGCCTAGGTACTAGATCGCTTGGGCCTCTGCAGCCCCTCTTCTGGTATCTACAATGGCCAGGCCCCAGGGCGTTCACTTAAGAGAAAAATACTTCCACCGCCTCTGTCTCTGCACAGCCAGCTTTGGCCAACCCAGTCTGCTTAGGCCATCAGCATTTACAGTCCTGGCACCCCTTGCAAATTGACAACATCGCCGGGCCAGAAGGATGGTTAATAAAACCAAGAGGATTTATTTATGAGTTTCTTCTGATAGAAGCCAACGACAAGATGTGAGAGTAAAATGAAGTATCCTCGTGCTGTCGTTACTGGCAGTTGTGACAACATTCCTGAGAGGTTAGTTGTACGCCAACCATTTTTCTGAGCAGCAAAGTGATTCAGGACAGAGCAGGACTCTGAAGTGCTAAATCCAGGTCCTGGGGGGGCCGTGACATAGGCACACAGGGATGGCTGGTGAACTGAAGACTGAGGCATGCACGTTCTCTCCCCCGGGGAGCCCTACGCCACCAAGGGCCAGCAGAGGAGGAGCCGTTGGCTCCATTGCTTTTGTGCCCTGAAGAAAAGAGGCTACAGCCTCACAGTCACCAGGGCAAAACACCTCTTGCCTATTTACCTGCTTTGACACTGAGATGGCACGTTACTCTTGCTAGGTGTGAAGGAGGAAAGAAATGAGATAGAGGAAAGAGAGGAGAACCTCATTTGGCCCCAGTCATCTGGATTTCAGCAGCCTCCCTTCCCTTTCCTGAAAATTGGAGGCTTGCTTTTCCTCTTAGGTTCCTGGGAGACACAACTTTTAAAGGTGATGTTTTGCAAACTTTGAAAGCGTTCAAGGAACGCGTGTTGTTAAACCACCACCACATCTGCTACTGTCGACTCTGAGAGCTTTTGTCGCAAATCGGTCTGAACATGTTCTCTCTGACGACACAGCGGACCGTTGAGTGGAAGCACGCAGTTCCGAGCCCGTCCACCCCGCATGCGAAGCTGTTCCTGGAACCAGGATTTGAGGGCCCGGCTGACTCTGTCAATCTTTCCTGGCTGGGACTCTGTGCAAACTCTTGGTTGTGTTTACTCAGAATGTTAATAATTTCGGAAATTATTAAAATGGAACCAAAATACTTTCTTTTTAAGAGGCCACTGAGATCACAAATCATTCCGCAGATATAACAAGCTGTGTACGCTGAGCGAGTCCAAAGCTCGACACTTGCTGCGAGCCAGCTGGATGCGTGGCCGTTTTCATGTGACACTTCATGTGTGGAACTAAGGAGGCGTGAGAGAAGCCCTTTAAAAATGAGGCCTCAAAAGTGCAATAATTGTGTTGGACAAAATGTTTTCACAAAAAAACTTTCTTTCTGTCTCCACCCCCCCCCAATTGCCCATTGTCATTGTTGTCATCTCCGTGACCTAACTCCTATGCTTTCGCCAGTGTCACCACCCTAAGGAATCCCATTTGGATTTTAAGGGACTCATTTAGTTGTCACTTTCTATGTTCTTACTGTTCCCTCTCTGGGCAGAACCAATGCTTTTTCCTTTGTATCCTCACTATCACATTGGGGCCATTGGTGCTCATCAAAATCACCTGAGGCAATTCTTAAAAACACAGATCTCAAATCTTACCCCAAACCTTCTGATTCAGAATGCTTTTGGGTGGAGGGGGCCCTGGAATCTGCCTTCTAAAGCACTGCAGGTGAGTCAGATGTTGGTGGTGGCAGGATCACTACCGTGCGGACCTAGGCCATTGCTCCTATATGCCTTTGTCCCACGTGGTCATTTGCATGCCTCTCCCTAGCTTCCTAATTACAAGCTTGTTGAAGGCAGTGAAGCCCGTGGCATCCATATTTTCATTTATCGAGTACCTACTATGTACCGGGCTCTTTTCTGAGGACAGGGAGCATAACAGTGAACAAAATTGGTAGGCCCTCTCTCTTGGACCTCACATTCCAGGAAGGGAAGTCAGACAATAAAAAGTAAATAAATAAGATCACTAAATACTATTTGATTAGATGATAAGTACCAAGGAGAAAAAGCAGAAAAGAAGGGGATGGTTTATTCTAGGATGGTGAGGGAGGTGCACACTAAGCCTTAGCTCAGGAGGTGATAATTGAGCAAAGAGTTGAAGACTGTTGAGAGAGAAGGCCAAGAGGACATCTGGGGGAAAAGCAAGTGGAAGGCACTGGAGCAGAAGAATGCCAAGCACAGTCTAGAAACAGACAGGTGGTCAGTGTGGCTGAGACAGAGTGAGCAAGTGGGAGAAAGTAGGGGGCTAGGAGATAAGTGTGGGGGAATAGATGTTGGATGGGCTCATCTGACCCTGTAAGAACATGGCCTTTGTCTATGGCATGCACAAAGCCTGTCTTACTCCAGAATAAATACCCCATAAATGAAGGGATCATCTCTGAGGGCACATGCAAAGGCCTTGCGGCTTAGACCTAGACCAATAACAGTGACACAGAAAAATAAGTTTAGCATATAGATATTTTAACATAAATATTTTTAGCCAAGAGGCAGCAGTACTCACCCACAACTCAGATTTCAGAGCCTGGATGCCTGGATTCAAGTATTTTGCATACGACTGACTATGTGATCTTGGAAATCTCTCATTGCCAAGATCACATAGCCACCCCTCATCTATAAAATGCAAAAAATAGTAGTACCTACTTCATAGAACTCTGATAATTAAATCAGTTTAGACATGAAGGGAAACTGTAAGGCTGTCTGATATGCTCTTATCAGATTGCTCTTATTGATTGCTATGAGAATCAATAAATATTTGCTATTAACATTAGCTTGGATAAATTTAAGACATTTATTAACAATTTGAGGAATTTAACATGCTTAATATTAAATTTTAGTCATTGTCTATACTATGGACTGATAAATATAATATAACTAATATTCATTATTATAACCATATAATGATATAGAGATTATTGTTGCATGTCCATTTTAGGGGGTGCACGTAAAAGGAATGGGAGTTTATTCAGTTCTGTAAGTGGTAAAATACACAGAGAGGAGTGAATAAACATGAAGATGACACTAATGACAACAGCTATGTTGGGGTTACAGCTGTGAAATGAGATGGGTGTCATCTCTATTGCTGGGTATTAGTGTTCCTTGAGGCTACTGAAGAAACTATACAAACTAAAAGTGTGAATTAAACTTTGAAGTCCATCTTTCCCTTTAGTCACACTTTGGTTTTCCTCCTATAAGACACATTTCAGACAGATTGAGAATCACTTCTCTGTGATTCCCATTCCTATTGAATTTGTGTCATAGTGTATTAATACAAAGACTGAAAAAATAATACCTTCTTGTAGGCAAGCTTTGTACTGGCATCAGACACTTTCAATGCAACCTGGAAGATTGCTTTGCTCACTACTAGGAATTGGTTTCCACCATGAGATTCTAATTTAGACTCGTTTGAATGACTTGAATATCTGTGTGCAGATGTCCAATGCTAAATGTTATATATTATTTATAAGTAATGATAAGCAGAGATGCAACATTTTTCCTAGTCTATGTCCATTTCTAACTTTAATACTCATTTTTAAGAAACTTGTGAACCATACCCACCTTCCTTCTACTTTTTACTTATTAATTTTTCTAATCATATCCATGTCTAGTGGTTAATTTTGATGGCTCCAGAGGTAGATCCCTGGCTTCAAATCCTGGGCCATTGCTCAGTGTTTGTGTGATCTTGGGGGCAAATAATCTCTGAGGGCCTCTGTTTCTTTCATTGTAAAAGTAAGGATAATAATACCACCTCCGATTTCAGGCTGTTTTTAGGATCAAATGAAACATATATCACTTAGGACATACTAAAACACAGTAAATGTTAAGTATTAACTATTATTGGTACTTCTGCAAACTGGCTTGAGCCTATCTCTTGATAGCATTTGCTTTGCAATTCTGTGATTGTTCAACACGTGTTTGTTTCCTACCTGTATTGTAAATTGCTTGCTGACCCTTTTGTCCCTCTCCTTGCCTTCGGGGTACCCCATCATCTGGGGTACCATCCAGAGCAGTACACAAGTGTACTATCAAATCACTGGCCTCCACCTGCCCCTGGGCAACCCGCAGTCAGCCACGCCCCCACCTGTCACTTCTCGAAATAAAACAACTGTGCAGCACTAACAGGCGAACGGGGGATAGCGCACTGCATCGGCCTTCCCAACCAACCCCTCTCACTCTTCCTCTCCTTGCAGGATGTTCCGGAGGCTTTCCCTGTCCTTGTTCCTGGTGGCCGTGCTGGTGAGGGTGGCGGAGGCCCGGAAGAACCGGCCGGCGGGCGCCATCCCCTCGCCCTACAAGGACGGCAGCAGCAACAACTCGGAGAGATGGCAGCACCAGATCAAGGAGGTGCTGGCCTCCAGCCAGGAGGCGCTGGTGGTCACCGAGCGCAAGTACCTCAAGAGTGACTGGTGCAAGACGCAGCCGCTGCGGCAGACGGTGAGCGAGGAGGGCTGCCGCAGCCGCACCATCCTCAACCGCTTCTGCTACGGCCAGTGCAACTCCTTCTACATCCCGCGGCACGTGAAGAAGGAGGAGGAGTCCTTCCAGTCCTGCGCCTTCTGCAAGCCCCAGCGCGTCACCTCCGTCCTCGTGGAGCTCGAGTGCCCCGGCCTGGACCCGCCCTTCCGACTCAAAAAAATCCAGAAGGTGAAGCAGTGCCGGTGCATGTCCGTGAACCTGAGCGACTCGGACAAGCAGTGAGCGCGGGGCGCAGCTCCGCACCGCACGCGCCCGGCCGCTGGGTCGCGCCACCGCCGCCGCCGCCCGTCCCCGAGCCCGCACGCGCGCTGCCTGGCGCCCCACCCCCGGCGGCAAGCACGTCTCCTGGGGCTGACGGTGTCCTTGTCCGGAGCGGGGGCCCACCGCCAGTGGAGCTTTGCTGGTGCGTCCCCGACCGCCCCCGGGCCCCGCCAGTGACTCCGGCCCGCAAGAAAAGGCTGGAAAGCCGCCACCGCCCGCCACCCGGCCGTCGGAGGGGGCCTTTCAGGTCGTGCACTGTCGTCGATCTGGCAGTGATGTTTCCACCGTGTGGAAAAGCGAGGATTTCCCCGGCCTGCCCCTACACTGCGGCTCGCCCCGCTCCAGGTGAGGCGGAGGGCGAAGGAGGCGTCGCTCTGCGGGGCTGTCCCCAAACCTCTCCCGCGGGTCCCCGGACCTGGGCTCGGCGCGCTCCCGCCCCCTCCGTGATCCGCGGGCCGCCCTGGGCCGCTGCTGTCACGCGGCTGTGGACAAGTCGCACGAAGATGTCCATGGACAGGGGGTCTCTTCGCAAACCCCATGCCAAGAAGACAACTTGAGCCACTTGGATCCCGAAGTGGGCTTCCCTGGGGACCTTGCTCACAGCAGGCCACACCCTCCCCCACCCTGAGCCACCATCACCCCTTCTGCCTCACTTCCCTCCCCCCCTGGACTGAAGATGAACTCCGGTGTGCATGCTATTACCGCTGCAGTTAGAATATTATCACACACGAAAAGGTCTCTGTATTAACGCTGGTTTTATAATTGACCTATATTGTAAAGAGCTGTTTTTTTTTTTTTTTAAAGTATTATAGACCTATCCATATATTGTTCCACATGTTTTGACTCTGGCTTTGCAGCACAGTTCTGAGTAAGGAGGACAGCAGGTGCTGGTCTGCCCAGACGGTGTTTTTACTCAGAAATAATGCCTGGTCAGCAGTTCACTGGCATGCACCTATTTTAGATTGGGCAGGGAGATGGGAGGATTCGGATTTGACTGACTATTATGTCGCAGAAGGTACTGAAGCGTTGCAGCACAATGCAGAAATCAGGTTGGGAGGGAGGGGAATTGTTTGGGAAGTTGCTAACCCAAAACTCAAAAGCTTGCATATTGGGGATGAGAAGGTACACTATTTTCACTGCCATCACACTCAGCAAAACAATAGTTCCTGTTAAAAGAAAGAGGTATTTAATATAAGGAGTCAGGTCACTCTGTGGTATATAGGAAGAAGAACGGGCTAAAGAATATGGAATAGTAATCTAGTTGATCTGCCCTGCAGAAAACAACTCGCTTCCTTTTGCAAGTATAGACTTTACCAAGGTCACCTTCCACTTTTATAAGGGATTGTTGGAGTTTCCATGTTGTGGACTCCTGATATAAAGTAGAGATAGTTTAAAATTTTCCAGCAAAATGATGTTTTCTTTGGGTCCCTTTGCTAAAATGTCCTAGGAAGGCTTCCCTGTGAGTAATGGGTATGGAATCTGACTAATGTGAATGTGCTGCCCCTGGTGGGAGTGAGCATGCTTTGCAAACTTGCAAACTTTTCACTGGTGACTCCCTAGCAAGTGCTCCTGCCAAGGGGCCGGTTCCCTAGTGTGTGAGAGAGACCCTCTCCAGGTGTCTCTGGGGACTGAAGCTTCCTGACACTAGGCAGTGGCAGTAGACGTAGAGACATTCGCCTAGAGAGCACGCCTGGGCTTGGGTGTGTTGGTGAATGTGTTTCAGGCCACTGCGCTGCAAGGCTCTTGCCTGTCACTTCTGTGACACCAGCCTGTGCCGTTGGAAAGCACTTGGCTTCATAAATGCAGAAACACAGCCTGAAACCAGGAGTCAGAAATAAAAAGACATCTTGAAGGGCTGCAACCTGGGGATGGAGAGAAAAAGTAGAGAGGGTGTCCAAGGTCAGAATTGATTTTTGCATTTAGCGGAAAACCTCAAGTCAGACTCAGTGGCAGAATGCACAGAGAGAGCTGCGAAGGAGGGACATTCACATGATCAGAATGGAGGCTAATGGGGTGCAGTAGGAGGTGAGTGGAAGGGAGTCTCCGCCCCAACTGCAAAGCCATCCCCTGTCCTGTTATTAACACAGAACCCACACAGATGGGGGGAAGACGAAGCTGAGAATTTGCAGAATGCAAACATGAGCACACTCTCTTTCAAACCCAGTCTTGGGTGTAGCAATGAAAGCAATACGATATGCTGCAGTGAGAAGCTCCTTCTGGAGGTTGTTGTCTGTACAAAGTTTACCTTATAATGGCTCAAATTGTATTTAATTGTTTTTTTTTTTTGTTCTGTTTATAAATGGAGAAAAGCTATAAGTATAATGTAATTATTTTATAGGTATACTATTAAATTATAGAACAAATAAAGATACTCTAGGGTTATATGTGATCCCGGTGTTATGTGCCATGAAAGTGGAATTCTGAACTTGTTGTAACGAGCAGTGAAGGAGCCCCATGCATTCAGAGTGCTTTTGTCTGGCACGGTGAGTTTGATCCCTGGCCTGTGTCACACCATCTCCTCTGGGGCCTGGCATCTTCAGCGAGATTCAGAATCAGGCATCCACGGAGCAGAGGCGATGGGTGCAGTTCTCAAGGCTCTTACAGATCTCCCACCGACTGAAGACAGAATATTCTTTCTGTGCTCTCCGAATAAGAAGCACTGAACAAGGAAGCCTTGAGAAATTGCTGCAGATAGAAGTCTCCACTGACACCTTCTCTTCCCTTTAGCAGCCAGTGCACACCACACCTGTCTCTTCAACAAGCCAGACCTTGTCCTTAGTTTCCTTCATTTTCACATCGACCTCTCACGGGTTTCAACATTTATTAATTTAAATACTTTTTAGTTTCACAATGTCTCCGTTTTTCTACTAATTGACTTATCTGCCATTCAAGAAGCTCAATTATCAATAAAAAATAAAAACCTTAAGAAAATTGCACATGGTTGATTCACTGTGTGGACTCCAAAGGAATTAAATTCAACTTACTAATAAGTAATTCATCTTAATTAGTAAGTGGGACAGAATATTCCACTTTGGGATTGCAATTCACTTATTTCTGAAGTTGCCTGACTAATTTTTAAGTTACGAAGTCAAGGAAAATGAATTTGTGCTATTGCTCGAACAACGTAGAACGTATGGATTCCTAGAAAGCTTATCTAATGATTCATCTAGCACCACTGATTATTAATGTCTGCATGGGAGATAGCAGTAAGACCAACTCATAGATAACGCAACTAAATCTTGTTGATCACCATTTTATCTTCTGAATCCCACTTAATCCCCAACCTTGCCACCCTCTCCACCTGATTCCACTACCATTACTCCTCGTGCACAGCAGGCAGCCTATTCACTTGACCAAAAGCCAAATACTGGAAACCACGCAGTTTTCATTGTTGTCATTTGCATTCATTTGTGTTTCTGGCTTCTCTCACATTCAGTCTAGAATATGAGGCGAAACAAACAAAACCAGGGAACTTACTGCCATATCATTCGTGAATCCTGAGTTTCCCACCTGGTTTGCATTCTTTTCTCCACCTTTTAGAATCTTCTTATGTTTGTTTTATGTATACATGTATACAATGTCTAGAGATTTTAGTGGGAGAAATAAGAGAAAATGTGTCTACTCCATCTTGCCCAGACTCAGAATACCCCTGAATCTTTATAAATTTTATCAGCCACTTTCTAAGGTGGATGCAGTGTACAATTACCAAGACCTCCAACATACCCATCCCATGTCTGTCATCTGGTCTTATCTGATAATCATATTGTGAATCAGGGTAATGTTTTACAGAATGTCCATAAAATCCAGGTCCCTCAGGTGTAGGAATTTACATAGTCTTGAGGCAAGACCATAAACATAAACTTGTTTATCCCATGGAAATGCACATTGCATCTAGTTTTCCTGCCAATAGGTATGGCAAAAAAACCCCACATGTGCCAGATCAAGTTCTGGAGATTGTTTTAATCTACTCTAACAACAACAACAAAAACAAAAACACATTGAATACTGTAGCCGCAACTGGGCTACTGCCATCTCCTGCCATGTTCCATTTACGTTTGTAGGAGCCAGCAAAATATGACAGGGGCTACTACAATATTAAAGTTGAGAGTTTTGTTAATTTCCTCTATCCTTCTGTAATTCACTATTCTTTTTTCTGATTTAACATTTTGCTGTGGTTAGGAGCAGCTTCGGAAGCTTCCACATGTTCCTCACTCCTGCCATAGCTCTTACTTAACAACTCAAATAGTAGATATGAGGGTTTTTCAAACTGCCAAGAGTGTCCCTTCCAATTATGTATCTGGGAATCAGGGGAAGAATCACCAGGGTGGTCCATGGACCGATGGCCCCACTGAGAGCCAGACCTCAGCTGGGACTCTAGCAGCCCCTGTGTGTCCCCACATTGGCAGGGAGCCGTGGTGCCACCAGGTATTAGTGTCACTTCACTCCTAGTGTCCAATAATTCTCAAAATTCTTGAGTATCCTTTTCTCCAAAGCACATTTACCTGAATAAGTGGTCCTAAGTTCCCTGATGAAGGAGTGGGGAAATAATAAATTAATAGATTTTCCCTGGTATTGCAAGGTTGTAGGAATCAGCCACTCCTTGAGCCAGTGGATTTCAAGTCTGATCTGGAAACTAGGCAAGAGATTGTGATTTTTATGGAGCTATTGCCCTCTGCATCTGATTATCCATTATTGGTTTCTTTTGACTGTGTAAATTAAGCAATACCCTTGTTGGCCCCCTGTCTATCTTGTCTCCAGGAACACTATGTTCTAGTCACATCCCCAACAACCCTATCACTGGATGCCAGAGTCCTATCACGCTTTGCAACACCTGTGCCCATATTACTTCTGAAAGCTCAGCATTACAACCTGGCTTACATTATTTTGAGATCTTGCTACTCTCATGTCCATCAGGGAGCCTATTATAACAGCATCGCTTCCTACATTTGTCCCTGGCCAACAGATGACAGCACTACTAAACTGCTCACTAATGCTTCTGTCCTTCTCACAAGCACATGCATCATTGCTCTGGGAAACAGAGAGCTTCCTGGGAACATAGTTGGCTAGTGGGGTTTTTTGTTTTCATTTTTGTTTAGCTTCACATAGCAAATACACTTTAGCATGCCCACTTCTTTGAGCCTTTGGATCCTTTTATCTACTATGTATCATGAAAGTTCCTGCATTTCTATTTCATTGAGTGTAGATCCTAGCATTTGTGGCCCTCCAAGAATCATCCTAGCAGCTTATTATCACCATCCCTGGGGATTTGCCACAGTGCTAATCATGGGAGAGTGCTCCCATGATGACAAGTGTCCCTTAGCCACCTTAATGTCCTGCTACCCCTTCCTTGATCCTGCAGGCCCAGGACACCTTCCCATGCTGCTTCTCCTGGCTCCTGCAGCAACTCCACTGTACACCCCCCTCCTTCCTTAGCCCACCCCTGTCATCCCCATAGGGGCGGAGCTTAACAACAAGCCTAAGTGGGTTAAGGAAATCTGGGAGTTTGAGAGTCTCCATTGCAACTACTAGGTACACCCCTCCCAATTTTAGGGCTTCTACTTCTTCCCCATTAGGGTTCTAACCTTGGCACAGGAGACTTGCTGGAGACGAGAATCCAAATTTCTCTGAAACAGCACCCTTTTATAACTGAGTCCTCTGACTACAGGGGACTAGGGCCTAATAAATGCTACCAAAGAGACTCTATCTGTGGCTTTCATATTCCACCTGAATTAGTGATTAATCACCTTGAGTCTTTTATTATCTATTCAACAAAGCAGTGCCACTCGGAAATAGGTATCCAATCCCAAAGTCCTTATGGTCACTCTGTCCCTCATAATTTTAAAACACCCAAGGTATTGCACCAGCCAGTGAGTACCGCCCACCATCATCCCATCCTAATTTACCCCTGGGTGAAGTTTTAACAATGTGCTGCTACAGCCTGCCAGGGGCTGGGCAGTGAGTGAGCCATCGGCACATTGGGTTGGAGTGTCCTTCCTCTGGCCACTCCCAGAGCTGCCTATCTTAGATGGTTTCCCAAACTCTGAGAAAGCATGGTGAGCAGGCTTAGGGGGGAATGTTGCAGGACACAGACTTATAAGGATGTGAGAAAAACGGAATTGTGCAGCAGGAAAAGCAATCTGGTCATAACCGAGATCTCATCTGATCCTATGGGGAGTTCTGGAGCTAGGATCGCATATTAGAGTTGTCTCCGATTGAAGAAAGGGGGACAGGACTTCATAACCCACATCAGTCAGTCACTGCCCATGGGCCATCCAAGGAGGGTGCATGGATTTCCCTTCACTAAGGGCAACTCTCAGTAAGGGACCCAGCCCTTATGTTCTGCGGGGGTCAGGGTGCAATGCAATGGGTGCATCAGGCCTAAGGAAGGTATCTGGGCAGAGCACCCTAATAGCCACCTTTCTGTGTGTGTTAGGGGTCGGGGTGGGGGTGGAACATGGGAGGAAGGAGGCGAAAGAGAGAGTAAGGAGTATGGAGGGCCTTGAAAGAGAAGCTGAGGAAGTTCCACTTGATCTTGTAGAAAATAGAAAACCATTGACAGATTTGATCAAGGCAATTGGAGGGAGCAGAATCGGATCCAGACAGGCCAGCTCGGGGGCTCTCCTGCAAGAATGTAAGCTGAACATTAGGGCCAGGCCAGGTAATGGAATTGGATCTGAAAGGAGGAGACAAATATGTGAAATATTTGCAGAATGTGGTCATGAAAAAGAAGTATGCTAGTGCAAGACATAGGGAACCCAGTGTAAGTGAGGATCTGATATTAGAAGATAATGTACTAATGTG